AAGAGAGAGAGAGAAAGAGAAAGAGAGAAAGAGAGAGAGAGAGAGAGAAATCCATTTCACATTTAAATAAGATAAATTTTATTTACGATAAAAAAAAAATAGAAATTTTATCGTTTTTATGGAAAATAAATAAATAATAATTTTTTTTTGTGTGCAGCAGCAGTAGAAATTCTTCCTTTTATTTTTTGTTTATAACAATAACAAATGTTATTAAACTACTTTTGAAATTTGAAAAAAAAAAAAAAAAAAAACGTAAACCAAATCAAAATCAAAAAACAAAAAAAATTGCAAAATTGCTGCGTAATTTGATTATTTTAACAGAATCAAATATCTCAATAATAATAATAATTTTTTTTTTTTTTTTTAATATCATCTATCGAATTACGTTCGTGATATTTACTTCAAAAAAAAAAAAAAAATAAAAAAATAATAATAATAATAATAATAATAATAATACGAGCAAATTTTCATAAACGTGCCATCATTGTAGTACTTTTTGACTTTTAAAAGAAAGGCAAACATTACAAAAAAAAAAAAAAAAAAGTACGAAATGTAAACGTATTCGAGTCTTAATCATAAAAAATTCGAAAAAAAAATTACATAAGCTAAACACACACACACACACGCTCAACACGTATACCTCAATTTATATTCTATTCACAATTGTGTATATATATTTTTTATGTGTGTGTGTGTGACGTATACACGTATGCAAGACATGACGCGTTTATTTTTTTTTTTATATATTTAATTTATAAAGTGTTATGCTATGATGATGATGATGATGATGATGATGATGATGATGATTGTTGGCATAAGACGACATTTTTTTTCCTTTCAAATTTTTCTAAAAAAATTTTAGAAACGACAAACAAGTGAAAACAAACGGGATGTAATGGTACCGAACCGGGCACACGGAATATACCTTAAACATATCATCTTCGTTTTCCCCCCCCGCCCCTCAAAACGTTTCCAGAAAAAAAAATCAGCATCACGTGGACACAAAGTCACAAATAAACAAATTTAACCTTTGCAATGATAATAATAATACTCGATCAACGTATAACCGTCCCTCCCACTTTGATATTTAAAATTAATTTAAAAGGAATTTGCTGAGACATTGAAAAAAATTTTTTTTTAAAGACCAAACACACTTTCATCAACCCAAATAATAATAATAATAATATCAATTTTAAAAATCAATCGATTAATCGATCGATTGATCGATCGATCGATCACCGATTGGTCATTCGATATCGTGATTTTACAGCAAGCAAAGTATTCGCATATGTTTCACGTATACTCATTAGGTCACACACGCACGCAAAAGGTATTAAGGAAAAAAAAAAAACGATAGAAAATAATTTACAGAGACTCGACGGTGAATTAATGACGATTCTATTAATAACAAAAAAAAAAATATCTAACCGAAAAAGAAGAGTAACGTGTATGAATGAAATTTTGTTCGAAATACATTTAAAAAAAGTTATTTTTACATACACATGTGGTGGAAACTTTGCCACAAAGTAAATATTATTAATTCGTTTTTTAAACCGCCCTTAAAAATGGATATTTCCAATTCAATAAGATGTGCGTAATAATAATAAAGAAAATAAGACTCATTATTCAATATTAGTTATCATCATCATCATCATCATTATCATCATCATCAAGTGGTAACGGGTAAATTGCGTGCATATTCAAAAACTCTTTCAATCAATTTATAAACATTACACAGGACGACATATACTTTAACGTGTCGTCGTCATAATAATAATAATGATAATAAGCAAGTTTACAAGGATTCAAATTGTTAAATAATTCACACAACTTCACAAAATAAAAGTGTAATGTTTAACAAGACTTTTAAATGAATTGTTCTTATAACTTGACGACGAATCACACACACACACACGCACACGCACACACACACACATACACATACACATACATTATATGAATTTAATGAGGCAGAATTTTTTTTTTAAAAAGTTAAAGAGAGAGAGAGAAAGAAACGAGTGTTTGAATACATTTACATGTCGTACATAAAAACATATTATTAAGTTTGATTGGCTGTTTAAAAAAAAAAAAAAGAAGAATTTTTTTTTAAACGTTTGCAGGCACATGAGATTTCATTATTATTATTATTATTATTATTATTATTATTATTATTATAATTAAATTGTTTTAAATTTTGCACTGACACAAACTTAACTATTCAAAAATAAATAATTTGAAACAAGTTGTGAACATTGTTTAAAATTAAAAACTGACTACTAACCAACACCACCACCACCCCCATCATCATCACCACCACCACCACCCCCATCATCATCACCACCACCACCACCACCACCCCCATCATCACCACCACCACCACCAAGCACAGGACTGACTAACATTTTATTATAAACAATTTTATTTATTTATTTTGTTTGGTTTAACCAATAAATTAATAAAGTTTAAATTCCACAACATTATTTCATATATAAATAAATAAATAAATAAATAATTTATAGTTATTATTATTATTGTTTTATTATAAATTCTCTCTCTCTCTCTTAAAAAACAAACAGGTCAATGTCCGTTGTAACAAATTAAAAAATTTGATGAAAATGATTTTTTGTAAAAAAAAAAAAAAAAAAAAAAATGTCATACAAATTTTTTTTTTTTGATTATTGATTAAATTTATTTGCAGAGGCGGTTTTCATTATATTAATTTAAAAATATTGAATCAATTTAAAAATGAGTCACAAATAATTTATCTATTTAACTTTGTTTGATGACATATTAACTAAATAATAATAATAATAATAATCAATCTAAATCATTTTATATATGTATAAATAATGAAATTTTTTTTTTTTTAAAATGTTACACATAAAGTGAAAAACGATTTGATTTAAAAAAGAAACCATCATCATCATCATCATAATTATTAAATGAGTGACTTTGATTATTTTCAAAAAAAAAAATTGTTTACCTTCATGTTTACTGCTGGTTTATTTATCTAACACATAGTCAGACAAGTTGTTTGTTCAGAACAAACTAACATATTTATAATAATAACAACAATTTTTTACCATTACAATTTCTTTTTTGTAAATCGATAAGTTTTTCAAGAATTCGATTTTTGTTTTAATTTGTTTCGAGAAACTTAAATTTGTACTCATTACATATTAATTGTTTTAATATTGCTAAACACTACATTTTCAAACAAACAATATGACTGTTAAATGTTTTTAATGTATATATAATCTAAAATTAATAATAATTCTTATTTTCAAATACATGACATAAACATGAAAAGAAACGAGTAAAAAAAGGGAATCAGTTTCGATATGATTGTCGATTTGACTGTAACATAATTATTTCGAGAAAAATTTATGTAAGAGTTTAGTCCAACTGCCAGAAAAGGTAAAAAACAAGACTTTAAGACTTTTTTTTTTTTTTAGAAACAACTAAATGTGATTGGAGATGTGAAAGTTTAAATCGTTTGATAAAAATTAACCATTAAACAACTCGAATTTGCAGATATGTTTAACCATTTATTCGAACCACCTTGAAAAATGATTTTATTCGAATGTACAAATTAAAATGCATGATTTTATAAAATTATACACATTGCCTACATGCTTACATGCATTTTTTACTTTCTTTACTGTTAATACTAAATAAAGTATTGAGTTTTTAAAATAATTGTTTTATATAACAAAAATTAGACAAAATAACGTTTTTTTTGGAGAGAGAGAGAGAGAGAGAGAAAAAACAAAACTTTAAAACCAGGATGTTAATAAGAAAAAATTCGGTCGTACGTAAAACTAAGTAAACCTTTCATTTAAATTAAAAAAAAAATATTAAAACAATCTAATAATATTTTTTAATAAAAGTAAATAAGAATCGAATAATTACAAACGACGAAAAAAAAAATTTTTTTTCCATTACATTTTGTTTATTTCGTTAGGATTATACGAATTTTAAAAAAGGCATCAACTAAAAGGAAACGTTTCCAAATTAAAAAAAAATTATTTATATAAATTAAATTAAAATATTAAAATTAAATTTAAAAGAATTTTTTTTTTTTTTTGTACGTTTTAATTAAAAATAAAAACTAAAAATCACAGTACGGACATGTAATAAAATAAGTTTTTATTATTTTATTATTTATGACACAAAAACAAAATGGCCGAAAAAAAAAAAAAAAAGTTGGAAAAAAATTATTGTTTTAGTTACCTTGTGAGCCGAAGTTAATCCTATGAATAAAGCACAGGATGTTATTAAGTATAACCGCAAATTCATTACCAAAAATTAAATAACTATAATTTAACTAATTTTATTAAGAATTCACGCCAAAAACCACGTTAATTATTAATAAAAACATACGGACTCACACCCTACTCTGATCAATGATACCGAACCGAATACTTCCTGACGTTTAGCCTCAAAGGAAAAATGGTTCTTGTATAGAATTCTTTAAGTCACGTCGTCATATAATCGGTTACAACTTTTTTTTTTTTTTTTTTTTTTAAAAAATTCCATTTCCGTTTCCGTTTTTTATTTTTTTAATATTTCTTTTATTTTCTTCTTATTAATTTTTTTAAAAAAAAAAAACTTTTGTCATGTTTTAAAATGAAATGAAACAATTTATTAGGTAAAATTAAAATTGAGATAAAATTTAAATAATTTATTAATTTACTTTTAAAAAAAAAAAAAGAATTTTTTTCATAATGGATATGATTAAACTGTGTGTGTGTATATATTTTAAGGAAATAAATTATATCTTTTCACGTAATAATTAATTAATAATAATTTTATTTTATTTATTGATAAAACAAAAATTAAATAATAATAATAAACAAGCATATCACAAATATTAATTATCTAAAATACTTGATTAAATAATGATAATATATATAATATTTTCTAAATCACAATTAATATAAATTATCTAATTTCGCAATAATAATAATAATAATAAAAGGTCGTTAATCCTCGTTTATTTAAATTAAAGGATTATCTTCACTTGTTTCTTCGACCGTCATGTACATACCCTCTTCTTCGTATGTACTATCGTGTTTGGCGAGAATTCTTAATAAGGGTCTAAGATGAAGCCACCATTGGACCATCGGAATTCTTTGCCTACAATAAAAAATACCTGATTTACCTGATTTTCGTAAATAAATAAGTAAATAAAATGTTAAATTTTAACAAATTTCGTACTCGAAATTAGTGTACGAAACGATTTCCTCGAGAGGTGTAAATTTGTATTGTCTCCGAATGACACCTAAAAGCACGGCAGAATCTGGTGTGTTGGCGCAAACCGTTCCATCCGGTTGCAAAGATTCTTTCACTTTTCGAGATATCCATTCGACCGTTTTCGCGCCCATTTTGGTACCTAAATTACGATCGAAAGGAGTGGGCGAACCACCCTGTTGCATGTGTCCTAAATTCATACGAAATATAAATATTATTTTATACAACTCCAACCTGAAACGTTCGACTACTGCACGTACCTAAAACGTTCATTCTGGCGCTGAACAGTCCCTTTCCTTCTTCCGAATATAATCTGTATATGAAATCCGTATTGTAATTATCGTTGGCTTTTTCATTTCTTAATATCAAACCCCTTTGAACTCCTTCGGCCATTTTCGATGCCATGTGATAAACATCTTGTTGTAAATCTTTTATGGAAAATTTCTCTTCGAATATGTACGCAGCATCGGCGCCACCAGCCAAACCTGCAAAAACGTTCGAAAAGTGTTAAAAATTACGATTACTTATTATGATTCCGATGCGAACATTATACCCGACCTGCGAGTGTGGCTAAATATCCGCAAAAACCACCCATTGTTTCAATTATGAAAACTCGTCGTTTGGTTCCCTGAGCAGATTGACGAATCCTGTCGCAAATCTACGAATGAAAAGCAAGAGTGAGTAAACGCGAATGAAAATATTTTGCATTAGACAACCGTAAACGTATTTACTTCGGTTATTTCATTCAAAGCAGTATCACTCCCCAAGGAGAAATCCGTTCCGGGAACGTTATTCGATATGGTCGATGGAATAACCACGATAGGTATTCGAAATTCTGGATATTTGTCTCTATTTTCGTACAACTGCAAAGCACCTTGATATGCCTAAAACAAAAAAAGAAAAAAAAAAATTTAATAATAAATAATTTTCCATTTCCGTTTATTTAGGGAATATTCAAATGAATCACCTCGAATCCACCGATAATCAGCAATCCTTGAATTCCAAATTCTTTAAGCTTGGCAGCAGTTTCGGGAAATTTTTTACTCGGCAATGTTCTTTTAGTTCCTAGCATAGCTCCACCTAATGCTATCCAACCAGTGACATCCGCCCAAGTCATTTTTTGAACCTGAATAAAAAAATGATATGTGGAAACCTTTCGACCATTTTAATTTTATGTTGAATTATGTTAATACTTACGTTTCCGTTGCATAGACCCTCGATGCCATCGTGGATTCCCATAATTGTTTCTCCTCTGTAAATGCAATTTCGTACAAAACTTCTCACCGCGGCATTCATTCCGCAAGCCGGTGCTCCGATATGCATAACACCCAAAGTTAAACCTCCCTGCGGTGGAAATAAAATTAGAAAAAGAGCAAAAAAAAAAAAAATCATGTCTGCTCAACGAATCATTACTTGATCTTTTTTATTTTCATCTAAAGTGGGAGGTTTCAATCTTGTTAACATTTTATAAATTTCTAAATTTCTATGAAAACTCCTCCCACGCAATTCCACAGCCTTACTCCAATCTTTTTCTGCCATTGCCTATCAAAAAAAAAAAAAAAAAAAATCACATTTTATTTTCCTCGTGAAAAACTTATAACCAATAATAAATAATAAAAAAACCTTAGAGACGGCTTTTGTCTTTTCAACGCATTGCATTAAGGGTAGTCTCACAGCCTGATTACCATCGAGGGAAACAACACAAGCTTCCGTTTCCGGTTGAGCTTCCATTAAAGCCATGACAGCTTCAGCTCCCATCCGACATCCCTGTCGAATAAAATCAATAAATGACTTTGTATATAAAATACAAATTGCACTTAAATTTAATTTGACCGCTTACCAAAATTCTGTCAAAAGCAGATGGATTTCCTCCACGTTGAACGTGACCCAAAACGGTTATTCTCGTATCTTGTTTTAATTTGCTAACAACAACTTCTTTAACCATTTCCGCTGTTATTGGTTTTCCATCTCTATCGATGGCTCCTTCGGCAACAATAATTATATTTAACCGTTGTCCGATTTGTCTTTCCTAAAAAATTTCATCCAAGTGTTCGACCATTATTAAAACAAACAATACATTTTTTTAGTAAAGAGTAATTTATAAAAATCAAATTCACAATTATTATGTATATTATACATTATTATGCAAGACAAAAAATACATAAACATGTTACCTAAAAAGTACTTTACCCTCCATACCTGGACTTTTTTTTTTTTCAAGGATAAGTTTTTTTTAAAAACTGGAAAGGCACAGTTGATACAAGATAATAAAAATAAAAAAAAAAAAAAAAATGAAATTAAATCTTGCCTGCTTTAAAGCACTGCATAATTTAATTGGCCAATCTTCTGTGGGAGGCCATTCGGGTATAAAAATAAAATCTGCTTCGGTACTAAGAGCCGCAACCAAAGCTAAATATCTAAAAACAAATAAAACATGCTTGGAAAAAATCCATTTTGAAAAAAAAAAAAAACCTTTTTCAGAGTTGTTGGAAGTTGAACCTGTTATTCGAAATTAAAACGATTAGTCTTATTTTATGAGTAAATACATTAAATACTAAATACATGCAACGACAATTATTGCAAAATAAAAATTTACAATGTTAGTATATATATATATAAATAAAATTTATGCTAAAAGTCGAGAGAAGAAATAAAAAAATATATGTACATAAAAATTAGACTTTTTCAGTCTTTGGATTATGCAGATTTAACATGCAATTATGTAAAGAAAAATATTCGAGAACAAATAATATATAATCAAATCAGTTGATTTCATTTACAATAAATAACCTGTTCTAATTTGGAGCAAAGTTTCTCGGGCCAATCATTTGGAGGTGGACTTTCAGGAACAAATACATAATCAGCTTCACTCGTTAGAGCTGTTACTAGGGCTAAATACCTAAAGTCAATAAAACCCCATCAATTGCAGACAAATTTAGTGAAAATTTTGACACTGAGCTTAATTAACATTATGAATTTGTCACTCACCCACAATGTCTTCCCATTACTTCCATAATAAATGTTCTCTGATGAGAATAAGCAGTCGAAGCGATCGCATCGATAGCTTCGACAATTCTATGAAGTGCTGAATCTGTTCCGATTGTCATGTCCGTTCCACAAAAATCATTATCAATTGAACCGACTAATCCAACTATGTGTAAATGGCTATACTGATCACTTGCTTCTTGCTGAATTTCACCTGATTAATCATAAAGGACTTTTAGCAGAATAATTATTTGAAAAATGGAAAAAAAAAAAAAAAAATTACTTATAGTTACCAGTGTTTACAAGTTCTGCTAATAGTGAAGGCCATTCTTGTCTAAATAAATTAGCACCTGTCAGTGATCCATCACCCCCAATAACAACTAAATTACTAATTCCTTTTAAAACAAGATTTTTGGCTGCTTTTAACCTTCCTTCTCTTTCTCTAAAATCACTGCACCTTGCAGAACCGATTACAGTACCACCCTGAAATAAAATATTTATAAAAAAATGTTCATGTGCAATGAATAACTGCAGTTAAGTTAATAAGACAAATTCTTATTATAAATTAAATAAAAATATTAAAAACCTTGTGAATAATTGAGGAAACAGATGACCAGTTGGCTTCGACAATATTGTCACCGCCATCAACCATGCCCTGATATCCTTCTTTAATAAAATAAACTTTGCAACCCAAATAAATTCCCATTCTAACAACTGCTCTAACAGTTGCATTCATACCTAAAAAAAAAAAATATACATTAATATGTGAGAGAAAAAGAAAAAAACGAAAAAAAATAAATAAAATATTGATTTTATTACCTTGAGAATCTCCACCACTTGTAAAAACTGCTAAACCTTTTCCTTTATGTGAACCTCTTTTAATAAATTTAATTTTTTCAGGCTCCATTTCTATATATATATATATATATAAGAAAATAAATTTATTAAAAATGATTTTGATTTGTTTTGTTTATTATTTTAATACCTTTGGAAAATTTTAAATATCGATTTTAAAAACATTGAAAATGTTTCCACATGTGTAAACATGTGGAAGAAAAAAGGGAGTTATTTAAAATTAAAACAAGTTGAACATAATTAAATAGATCAATTAAACGTTTAACAATTATATATTGAGTAAGAAGGGAAAAATACCTTGTAATTTTAATCCTTGATCCTTGGCACGTACACAAATTTTTCCGCTTAAAAAAGTGAATAATGATTTTAGAAATAAATTAATTTAAACAAAATATAATAATTTTAATTGTCGTTATAAATTATACGTATATATTACTTACAAACACGGATAAAAACTTATGAAACTTTTTATAAAACTTATAACGACTTTTATCACTGTTAAAAACGACCTGTCAGGGTCACCTTGATTTTTTAATGCCACTGTATTTAATAAAAAATATCCGCCATTTTTCAAATTTAAAGAGTTTTCGATTAAAAAAATTAATAGAATTATTTAAATGCAAATTCCGTTAAAAATATAATTTTTTATAAAAGTTTAATTTTAATCATTACAATTTGATTTATTTTTAATAATATTGCTTTGGATAAAATAATAATATTGTTAAAAAACTTTTTAATTAAAACTTATTAATTTATTTTTTTATTAATCTCGCAGTGGCATTAACATCTGACGTGGTTAAAGACACTCTTACGTAAATCTACAGTTTACGTTAGAATCACTTTTACTAAAAATATTTCTCTTTTACCAAACAAATTTTTCAAATAATACGTTAATAAATTTTCTACCTTGAAATTTTTGGCATTGGAAACCGTTTTTAATTACATCGCAATGACTTATTTATTTTTAGTTCAATAAATTGTGTTGTTGATAATAATAATAATTCAATATAGTATAAATTAAAATTTTTTTCAATATTATGTATTTAAATGTTGAAAATTTGTATTCAGTAATTTAACAATTTTATTAAAACATATAAGAAAAAATGCAAAAATTATTTCAGGAAAAAACATATTCATCAGATTTCGTACTTATGCCATGGGATGATACCCTTAGAATAAATATATCAAATGGGGTTAGTAAACCTTTTTTTTTGTTCCCCTGCAATTTTTGAAAATTACTCAAAATAATGCAGTTTGTTTGTTTTATCAACTAGGATTGTGAAGAATCGTGTACAAGATGGGACATGATTCTTAAACAATTAGATTTATCAAATCAAATTTTAAATTGTTTGGATTTAATCAATATTATAAAAAGTTATAATATCGTAGTAGATAAAAATGGAAAACAAAGTCAACCATTTTGGAAATTTTTCATTCTTCAAAAATATTTTTCAAATGTAAGGTAAATTACTGACTTTTACAATCAACATACTTTTTAACATTCATTTTTTTAATTGAGTTATTTTTATTTTAGTTGAATGATAATGAAGTACGAGAGTTTTTTCAAGAAGATGGCACATTGTCGACGATAAGACATTTAGCATTAGAATTAAAAACTCTTGTACCTAAATTAGAATTATTAAAAACTGGTAAAAATTCTGTGATAAACCTGCATCAAATTCAAGTAAGTGAAAAAAAACATTATTAAAAATCATTTAAATACATAATTTAATACATTTTTTATTTTTAGATAGCCAGCCTTTTGGCAAATGCTTTTTTATGTACATTTCCAAAGGGAAAAGCCGATTGTCCATCTTTTAATTTTATTTCGTGAGTCCACAAGTTTTTTTAAAAAGAAATTCTATTTATTTATTACATCAAATTATATTTATTAATTTTTTTTTTTTAGGTTATATGAAAGCAGTATTGGCCCTTCTGTGAATTGTAACATTGAAAAACTTAAATGTATTGTTCATTATTTTAATAAAATTAAGAAAAAACGTAAGTTTTTTGTTATTATTATTATTAATTATTTTATATTCTTACCTAAAGAAATTTAATATCAATGTTTTAGACCCTGGTGGCCTTTTATCTTTTCATAGATTATGCATTCCTGATCATAAATTTCCCAGATGGGATAAAACATCTGTCGCATTAACTTCGTTGACTGTTGATGCGAAAGGAAAAATTGAAGATCAGAATGGATTTTTGCAAATGGATTTTGCCAACAAGTAATTTTTAAATTAAATAACTTATGAACAATGTAATTAGGTAGAGAAACTGAATTCAATGTTTATTCCAGATATGTTGGTGGTGGTGTCTTGGGCAGAGGTTGCGTTCAAGAAGAAATAAGATTCATTATTTGTCCCGAGTTAATTGCAGCAAGATTATTTACAGAAAGTTTGGCAGATAATGAAGCATTATTTATTGCCGGTAACTCAAACTTTTTTTCCGTTAACTTTTATAAATTTTTTAAAATTAAAAAATACCTGGTTATGATTGTGAATTTTTAAGGTGCTGAACGATATTGCAACTATTCCGGATACGCAAGTACTTTTAAATATGGCGGAAACTACGATGACGTCACGGAAATGGACGAATCGGGGCGGAGAAAAACTTATTTAATTGTTGTCGATGCCCTTTATTTCCACCGTTTTCCCGAGCAATTTCGGGAAAGTAAAATCCTTAGGGAATTGAAAAAGGTGATTTCGCCTCTGTTAAAATCATTAAAAAACGAACGAATATTATTTTATTTAAATGTTAATGGGTTTAGACATTTTGAAGGCTTACGTCGGATTTAAACCGTTGGAAGACGGTCTTCCTCTTCCTCTGGCAACGGGAAATTGGGGATGCGGAGCATTCGGTGGTGATCCACAACTCAAATCCTTAATTCAATTAATGGCTTCGTCTCAAGCTCGAAGAAACATGCTTTATTTAACGTTCGGAGACTTGGCGTTAAAAAAACAAATCGAAGAAGTTTATAATTTACTCGTTGAAAACAACGTAAACGTCGGTACGTGGTGAATTGTAAAGTGCGCATGCGCGTACGTGAAAAAATAAATTTATCTCATTTTTTTGTTCTAGGGATGCTGTATAGAATTATTCGTTTGTACCACAGGGAAAAAAGAAAATCACAAACCGTGTTTCAATTCGTAAAAGAATTAATAGAAAAAAACAATGAAAAAAGTTAGTATGTGTCGAAACGAAAAAAAATTCCCTCGTCGATAATCATTTAACGATAATAATAATAATAATTATTTTCATTTACAAACAGGAAATCAACAAATTCCCACAACATCGGAATTCCGGGCAATTTCGGCAACTGAAAATGCAAAGTTAAATAATACCACCGAATGTGCAGACGACGGCGAGGATTCGATCAATTTTCCGGATATGGATGTAGATTTCGAAGATTTGGACGAAAACGACGTCAAACGAAATAAATTTTCATTCGAATGTCAAAGTTCATCATCATCTAACAAAGAGGAAAAATTTATTACGACGGATACGATTTGGTACGAAAACGAAATAAATTTTCACAAAGGAACCAAAGATCAAACCGTCGATTTGGAAAATAATTTAAGCTCATCTCAAAATTTATTTTCCGATGAAAAAATGGAAAATTTTAGGGAAAAAAAATCACCGGAAGGTTGCGCGAATAATCAAAATGATTCCGGAAGTACTAAGGAATCGAATTTTCCTCACACAAAAACTCCAAATGAAGAAAAAAATAACAAACAACAATTCATCAAATCTGAAAAAAAATTCGTACAAAAAAAAATAACGGATTGTTATTTTATAACGAAAAAATAATTTTTTCCTGTTTTTTTTTTTTTTTTTTTATAAAAATATTATTATTATTTTTTTTTTTTTCTTTTTTTCTTTCTTTTTTTCTGTTTGACATTAATAATAATAATAATTTTCGAATTTAAATGAATAATCGAATCAATGAAAGACGACTGAAATAGGTTTTACGAATATAAGTTAAACAAAAAAAAAAAAAAAATACATAAGAATGTGACTGATCGAATGTATAAATAATAATAATAATAAACAAATTTGATAAATTTTTTTTAGCAGACGATTTTTTTGCCCCTCCTCCTCCTCCTTTTCCTTCGGTCGTTACGTCATCCTAAAAATTTAATATGAATTTAATTTTTAAAAACTCTTTGAAAAAAAAAACGCAAATTTCAAATCTTATGTTTACCTTATGTACGATGAAATGAGCGAGAGAGAAAAAACCCGCCGAAATTCGTTTAAACTATTTTCTTATTCATATCCTTCCCTTCCTCTCTCCTCCTCCTTTTCCTCCTCTTACTCCTCCTCCTCCCCCCCTCCCACGTTATTATTATTTTTATTTGTCGCAGAAAAAAAAAAAAATATAAGAAATCAATGGTCGTTTTGCGTTATCAACAATTCGACTAAATTCGCTAAATTTTTCCTTTTGAATCTCAAACATTCTTTAACGACTATTTTGATTAAATTCAATTTCGTTTTACCTCCTCCTTTTATGTTTTTCAAACAGGAAAAAAGTGCCGAATAATCTGGAATAAAAAAAAAAAAAAAAAACGAACGAAATAATCCACATTATCATTATTATTATCATAATCACTCCCCATCGACTTACTTTTCCCAGGTTTTCTAACGTATTTAAAGGCTAATTTTTTTATTTTTAAATTATGGGCTCTTATTTCTTGAGGATCCGCCGCCGCCGCCGCCGTGCCGTCGCCGCCGCCACTCCTCCTCCTCCTCCTCCTACGTTTTTCCCTTTCCCTTTCTCACAATTAACAGATCCCGAATTGACGGATCCCCTTTTTTTATCTTTCTTATCCTCCTTTTTCTCCACGTCGTTTTTAATACCGACGTCGTTTTGCAGCGTTATCGTCGGGGGAAGAAGTTGGTACGTGTCCATGTTTTCATTGCAAGGTTCGTAAGGTTGTAGGTTTTCTATGGTAAGGACGGGAGGACTTGGACTTCTGGATCTGGAATTATAGGAATTAGCAACTTCTGAAAAAATAAATAACACCGGTTGACGAAAATTAATTCTAAAAGAAATAAGAAACAAACGGAAAACTAAAAAAATTTTTTTTTTTTTTTTTTTTTTTACGGATGACTTCCGGGTACCTCTGATTCCGTTAACTTCAACTTCCATATCCGTTTCCTCTCCGTCCGTTTCGGGTTTGCAATTACCCACGACGACATTATTATTTCCTCCTACGTTATTTTTAAAGCTTGAATTTTTTAGGACTCCCATCCCGGGATTTTTTTGCGCGTTCCCTAAAATAACTTTTGCGAACCCCCTATTTTTATCCGTGACGATTTCCGGGGGTTTGTCATTTTCCGTAAGCTTATCAAACGTTTCCGGTTTCGTTATTGTGCTTATAGGGGCGGGAGAGGGCGATCTCGAAATTAAACTACCTCTCGTCGCCGTGTAATCTTTTGGCAATGGACCTGGTTTTCGACGATTGTTGGGCTTCGGAGAGCCAGGATCGGACAAGGGTCGTTTTGTACCTCTGCTCAACATTCCGACAACATCCACGTCAGCTTCGTCAACCATCATTCTCTGAAAAAACATTTTTTTAAAAATAAAACCTGAAACTTTTCATCTTCATATATCCATACCTACACATCCCCTACACGTACCTTATCTATTTTAAATGGATTACCAAACATGTGTTGTCTAACCGGAGGAGTTTCGATTTCTTTCAATGGTGGAGGAAGTCGTTTCAAATGTTCCTGATAATTGCCCATTTGCGACAAAGGCATACTGTGGCGGAAATCTAAAAACGAAATCGTAACAGATTATTATTAGTCTTCGTGGTTGTAGATTCAAATTTAAATAATTTTAATTTAAAAAGGAACCTTCGTCCATGAGTTTGATACGTGACAGAGACGTGTGAAGGAAATTTTTTCTCATTTTCAACACGTGATTTAATAAATTTCGTCTGGGAATGTCGAACGCGTTTCGAAAACCCCCAGAACCGACTTTTTCTTCTCCGATTTTAGGAATGCCGACGACGAATCTATCGAATTCATTGAGCTGCTCTTTGAGAGAAGTAAATTTATCTGCAATAACAATTTCGTTATAACAACAACAACAACATAATATCAAAATATCATGATGACGTGGAATAAGAAAGTTTACTCTGGACGTACCCTGCAAAAGAGGATGAGACACGAGTGATTTTTTCAACGGCATCCTAGGAATAACTCGTATTCCTTCTGGAATATTCTTATTATTTTGTTTATTGTTAACTTCGTCACACAGTCTGAAAAAATAAATATTTTCGATAGAATCGTGATAAAAAAATAAAAAAAACATTTTAAAATGGAATCTCTCATCTATTTACCTTTCGAAATCATTTTTAGCTTGGATTTTTAATTTTTTTAAATATTGCATTACGCTATAACTAATACTAGATTCAGTGGTTTCTGGAATTAGGGTTTGAGCAAGACTGGCAGGAACTCCCATTTTAGTTAAGGCTCTTCTCAAGGGCTGCAAAACGAAACAATCAATGTCAAATTGAAAAGAAGAAGAAGAAAAAGAAGATGGAGAAGAACAAAACAAAAAAACATACTCCAACATAATAACTTGGCATCATTTTAAGATAATTCGAAAGTTGTATTCTCCATTCGTTTGTCGGCTTAAGGCGATGAGTTCGAAACAATTCGTCCAATAATTGCAATAAAACGGGATAATTATAAGGCATAACGAATAAATTAACGCATGTTAAATTCGTCGAAGCTTTCAGGTATCCGAACGGATGACCCGCTTCCGAATTCTTATACGAGTTCGTCACGAAAACCTGGAAAAATAATTTTTTTTTTTTAAACTTTAACGATGAAATCCCCATTACAACCCAAAAAGGTTATTGATAATTATTTGATTAACTTATTAAACGTACCTGCCAGCAAACCGTCGGTTGTTTTCTAGCCAATATGTATTGCGTTAGAGGACTCGGTTCTAATTCGTATTTATCAAAAGGTAAATTTTCAATAACCATGGGTTCTTGAGATGTGCAAGTAAACTTTAAATTAGGATGAGCCGTTCTTGGAGGCTGACAAAACAAATTAATTAAAATTTAATTATAAATAATTAAAACTAATAAAATATTATTATTATTATTATTTTTTACCAAAGAGCTAGCACTTAGATCTGGCCAAAAACTTTCAGGAATAGGCCAGTATCCGACAGCAAAACCTTTTTGAGCTGAACGTGGGACGTAAATTAATTTCCTACAACTTTGCCATACTGTATTGTTTTTAACCTAATGTAATAAAAAAAAATTTTTTTTAGCTTCTTAATTATCATCGAAACAAAATTAAAATTCACTTTATAAAATTCAAATTGTACATACCGTATCTTCTGCCTTATCATCCTGTGCTTCCGACTGTTCCCCATTTTCATCTTTTCCATCGACAGGAGATGGATCAGGTCCAATTTTTTCAAAATTAATAACAACTCCACTTTGAACTTTTTGTACTAATGAATCAATACATTGCATTAACATTCTATGTGAAGTAATGGAATATGATCGTCCTGAAAGTGAACAAATAATTTTAAAATATGACAAAAAAAATTACAGGAATTTGAAAACAATTTAAATATTAAATTTTAATACCTCCAGTAACTTCACACATTGCATCTATAGGACTTATATCGCTGGGTACAAGTCCAATATCTCTTTCAACAGGAGGAGTACCAGAGAGACGGAGAACAAGGGAGAACAATCTTTGATCCCACCTAAATGGTTCTCTCGTAAGCTCCGAACCAGGGATAGGAGAATTCATGGGTAAAATAAACTAAAATAAATATTAATTATAACAATAAACTTAATTTAAAATTTAAAGTGAATTTTGATGTGTACCTCTTCAGGAACTCCAGATGAATTTGATAATTTTCCTCCATCGGTTATTACGACAATCACGCTTGGCTCGAGAAAAAAAGGACACCTTCCCTGACCGTAAGTATCGATACCTGTTTGCATACGATTAATGTTTAAAACATCGAATGCATGTTTAAGTGCAGAGCCCATAGTTGTTAAACCAGTGCATTCTAAATTTTTTAATTCATTCATAAATGTGGCCAAGTTTTCTTTCCATCCCGCCTATAAAAAAATTTTTCAGTCATAAAAATTTAACTTTTGTATTCTATCAATTTAATTAATTATAATAAAATTACTTTTATATTATGAGGAGGATCTTCAAATGTTAAAAGCATATATCTATCAACTCTGCTTTCAGGTGACCTTTGACGAACCTGAAAAAAAAAAAAAAAAAAATTTACAATTTTTAAACCAGGCATTTAAAAACCAGTTATATTAACAAGCTACATCAACTCTTAATGGAACCTAACCTAACAAACTACTCACATACAAATAAATCAAATAATAACAATTTAAAATATAAAAAATTGATAATTTTACTCGAAAAAAATTTAAAACTGATTGATTAAATGAAAAAAAAAGAAAATAAATTATTTGTTATTTTACTCTACCTTAACGAAGGTTTCAACTGCACCTTTTGCAACATCTAATAAAGTTGGTCGTCCGCCTAAATACGCTCTCTGATTCATTGAAGCTGAAGTGTCTATTAAAAATACTATTATGGTCATTTTGGCTAAAATTAATTTATTAGAAACAATAATTTGGAACTAAATAAATTAATAGGTAAAACTAAGACATAATTCGATGAAAATAATATCTCATGGCTTAAAGTGTTTACGTTAAGTGAAGGCATCCACCATTTTTATATATGTAAAGTTATATTTCAAGTTGACAACTTAACAAACTATAACTATAAAAATTTGCGGTAATTTAATTTTTATTCATTATATGATGATTGACAAGCAATATAAATTTTATTTTAATTTTTTTATGTCTCACTGACATTTATAAACTTTCCCTAACAAATATTCATTTTTAACTATTTTCCTAATAAGATAAAATAAAAAAAAAAAAATTATCCTTTAATTAAACCTTTGTTTCAAATTTTAAATTAAAGTTATCCCAACTCATTTATGAACTTGAAAAGTTTTTATTTCAAAATAATTTAAGACATTAAGGTGATATAAAAATTAAAATTTTGTTTAAAACAAACATTTACTACATATAATAAAATCAATTACAAATATTAAATACCATCTGTAGGATATATTTATATTTAAATAAATAAAAAAAAAAAATTTGAAGGCAGTGTTGAATAATTGTACTTTAAAAAAATTTTTTAATACTTTTGATTTTCATTATGATATGAACAGATAAAATCAAAAACTTTTTTTTTTTTTCTTGATTAATAGTATTTCATAGACATTAACTTTTAAATAATAAATAATAATTTTAACAATCAATCATTTTATAACAAATAATGCACAATAAATTTGTTGTTATCGATAAGTTTTGTTTAATGATTTAATTTAATTTTTTAACATTACTCGAATCTTTCATGCATACATCCATACTATTTAATAAAAATGATTGGTCTGATAAAAAATTCATGTCTTCGCTAAACTCTTTTCTTTTTTTTTTGTGATGTTCATCAATTTTTTCTTTCAAATTAAGCAATTTGGCTTGTTCTTCATATTTTGATTTAATTAAATCCATTAATGAATCCATTTCATTTTTTAACATATGATTTGAATTAAGTAATTTCTGTGATTTTTCACTATCATCATCTTCAGAAGACTCTGATAAAAAATCTGGAATTATATCTTTTTCATCACTCATAGTTTTCTCCGATTCTGAACAATCTTCAAAATTGCAATCGATGATTGTTTCCGATGTTATATGATTATTTTCTGACTCCATTTTCTTTTTCTCTGGAACTTTTCTCTGACTAACTTCTTCATTTAAAGTTTTTACCTTTATTAGGAAAATTTTAAACACTTATTAGAATTAGAAGATATAAAATGAAGTGGATTGAGGATACATTGAGTACATAATATAAAATATTTACCTGTTGCTCCACATTTTGCAGCAACATTTGCAAGTTAAGGTACAATGGTTGCGACACTGAGAAAAATTCTTTCACTTGAGTATCTTTTTCCCAACTCACTTGATTTTGTAAATCTAACCATTTTTCAAGAAGTGTATTGTGCTTTTGTAAATCCTTTAAAATATTTTGAAGAGCCCTAATTAAAAAAATATTTACCATAATAAGTTTTTATTTTTTCCTTAAAAACATAACTTTTATATGGTACTTCAGGTACAAAATTAAATAAATAATTTTTGTCATGTTATTTACATGAAAACCTTAAAATATTAATTCTTACTAATGAGGTACAGCATAGTAGTATATAAAAGAAAGAAAAAATAATACATACGCATGAATTTCTAACAATCCTGATTCCAACTTTTTTTGACAAAGTAATGCATGCTTAAGCTGGAGTGCACGAATGTTTCCAGGATTTAAACTTAAAACATTATCATAGCAAGCTATGGATCTTCTGTAATCACCCAAAGATGCATAAACATTGCCTAAAGCTAAATGTGAAATATGTTGTATAGGATCATGATCGACTGCACTGTGAAGTACTATAGCTGCTTCTCCCAAACTGTGAAGTTCTTGTAATAGAGTACCTAGATTAAGTAACACTATATATCTCTCACTCCTAAAATAGTATTTTTTTTTTTTTATATATATATATACAAAAAAAAAAAAAAAAAATTTGTAATTCCATATAAGTTGTTTTTGTTACATTGGTGAGAAATAAACGGCTCGCCTCGCACACTCCACAGCTTTGGTCCCATTTCCTAAAGTTCTCCAATAAAAGGATGCTATATTGTAAGCAGTCCAATCTGAACTATTATTTCTAAGCATGGCATCGATATTAAAATTAAAAATTGTTTTAGAAGGCACTGGATCAACGGTTAAATTAAAATTATTTCTTTTATTTAATGTGTCTAAATGTGGAAATGTTCTCATGCTAAAATCTAAATTTGAATATGTTGTGCAATCAAGTTCCAAATTTTGAAAATTGTCTTTCATTTTAGGCCTGAAAAAAAGAAAATAGTTTTTTGTTAATGTTAAATAAATTTCTATTCGTTTAAATGAATGGGTATCATCAATATTCTTTATTATGTACCTTGTACCTTGACCATAATCTAAAAATTCAGTATTTAAATTATGTTTACTTAATGGCACTCTGCCTAGTAAACAGTCTATGTCAGTTGAATACAGTCTTTTTTCTAAATCTTCTTCTCCTTCAATTTTGGCCCTTTGAATATCAATCGATTTTTTTAGTATTAACAATTGTTTATATAAATTTTTTATCGTGGCAAGTCTTTGTTCTTGTTCTAAGAATACAAACAAATCATTATTTTTGGTAAGTGGAAATCCACTACTATCCACCTAAAAAAAAAAAAATGAAAACAATTATTTAATTATGTTTAATAAAAACAAAAAAAAAAATTTTCCCCATAATATTTATGAGTATTGAAACAAAATAAATATCTTTTTATTATAATCATAAAAGTTTTTCAAATCACTCTTAAAAAAATTTTAAAAATAAATAAAATAAATTAATAACACAGTCAAGTCACGTCACATAAACTCTTTTCAAAAATTATAAAATTAAAATAAAGGAAAAAATTTTATAAGAGAAATTTTTTAATTGAAAACGTCAAGTAAATAATAAACACCTGCGACTGTATTTTTCCATTTTCAGTGACAACCCAATGATAAGAAGCGTATATAGTGATAAAACAATTTGTAAACATTAATATATTAATTATTAGTTCGGCCATTATTGTTTTTTTTATTAAGATAATCGATATATTGAATCGACTAATCGTTTTTTAGGAAACAAATATGGTTTGATAAGTAATACAAATATTATTATAAATGGCGCTTATTCATATTTGATAACTGTCGTTATATTATTATTAGTTTAATATATTAGGAAAAGAAAATGATATTTAAAAAACATATTTTATGACATCGACGTAAATTAAGGTTGTGCTAATCCGCCCATTTGGGATAGTAAACGTTTTTTTTTTTTTTTTCTGGAAACTTTTGCTTATGAGAAATAAAGTTGTAAAATGTCTTCTTCGTACAGTAGTTCTTATTCAAATGTATCATCTCTACTTAAAACATCAAGCATGATGGAACAATTAATTGAAGAAATTAATTTTCAAAGAGCAAAAGAAATGAGACAACTACTGAAAGATGGTGAGTCAACAGTAAAATTTTTATTTGTCACTGCATAAATAAGTTATACAAATGCTGTTTTTACAATTCATATTTTATTAATAAGTTAAAATGTTTTTTTTTTAATTTTTAGACAGAGGTTATGGAGGTATGCATGGCACAACCTATTGGACAGATTTATTTGTCAGAAATTTTTTATTTCAAACAGAGTTATCAATCGACTGTGATGATCTCTTATTTTTTGTTAGAAAAAAACATATTAAAGGATCTTCAAGATATTTACCTAAATTTGAAGTGAGTTATTATTCTTTATAAACAATTGCAAATAAATTTTTTAAAAATAGTTACTCCATTTGTAATGGAAAAAAAAATTTTTTACAGACTGAGGTAGAAGTATTTAGAAAAGATAGTAAAAAACTACCCATCGGTGATCCCGACATAGATTGGGAAGAAACAGTTTATTTAAATTTAATTATCCATCAATTCGATTATGTTTTAACGCTGGCAATTTGCACAAGAACTAGTTGTAAAGAACTTCAAATTTTAAAAAGGCATTCACAAGTAAGTCAAATGTGCAGTATTTGGTAAATTGAACCTTTAACATCTTAGTAATTTCATGTTATTACAGAAAGTGTATGCTTCACCTTCTCACAGAAGAATGGATACCAAAGGAGAAACTGAAGACATGACTTATCCTTACATTTGTTTCATGATTGATAATTTCGATGAGGTAACGAAAAATTTTTTAAAAACGATTTATATTTCACAACCTTTCCTTTTTAATCGAATGATTGGTGTAAATTTTCTCTTATTAGGTTTTTTCTGATATAACAGTTCGTGATGGTGAAATGGTGTGTGTAGAATTAGTCGCCACAGATAGAGAAGGATCTACTCATGGAGTAATATTTCTCGGTTCTATTAGATATGATGCTTTAAAATGGGTTTACGATGCCAGAGTATGTTTTCCAAAACTTATTAAGTTTATTAATTTTTTTTTTATGTAAATAAATATATTATTACATAAAATTTAACTTTAGGTGAGCGCCAATGCAAAAATGTCTCAGAGAATGACATTCGGTTTATTTTCATCTGCATCATCGGGCCGAATAGAATACGTAAGAATGAAAGGACCCGATGGTAAAGGTCACGCAGAGGTAGCAGTTACAAAACCACCGGGAGCTGGTTGTGAAACACCCACGAGTGAACCTGGTCTTTGTGCTGTTGATATGTGGGATCAAGATTGGAATCAGGATCCCGAAGATTTTTTTGTTTATCGACATCAAGTAAGATTCGATTTTCAAAATGGAATTTAAAATAAAAAAATAAAAAAACACAAAACTTTATTATTCGTTTACATTTAGAGAAGACTTAGCGACCCGAGTGCCAATTTGAATTATTTTGTTCGCGGCGGGTGGAAGTCAAAATCAGATTCTGTCAATCCTAGAACACGGTCGGAAAATGAAGGTTTAGATTCTTTAGCCAACACAATGACCGAAGTCGAAGCTGGAGATGTCAGAGACGGTATTATCAGACAAAAAAATTTTAAATTGAACCTCACGTCAATAAAAAATGTCATTATGTCTTTTCCTTCTTAGAATTAGACGATGGTGCTTATAATCCTCTATGGACCATGAAAGGTTTCACACAAACTTTTCATTTTTGGAAGGAAAATAAAAGAGCACAAAGCGTTCCTTTAAAGGCTTACGTCACATACGTTACCCTTCCATGGTGGACCATAGCAAGGGGTAAGTACTTGATTAATTAATTAATAAATTATTATTATTAATAACCGTAATTAATAAGTAACGATAATGATAATAATAATTTCTTTTCATGCTGCTTTTCTCAGATCTTCTTGATAATCGCGAAAATCCAATTCTAACATTTTAGTCTTCATTTGTGTGAAATAAACAATTTTTTTTTTTTTTTTTACATAAACACAATGATGATAATAATAATAATAATAATAATAATAATAATAATAATAATAATAATAATAATAATAATAATAATTAATTTTAAGCTTAATGCTTGCTTATGTTAAGCAATGATAAGATTGTCAAATTTAATTTGTTCAATTTCTAAAAAAAAAATTGCAAAGGAAAATTTTGAAACGATTGGGGGGGGGCAAAAAAAAAAAAAATTCAAAGCTTCAAGTCGCGCAATATTCGCCAATCAAAAAAAAAAAAAAAAATTATCATTATTATTATTATTATTATTATTATTATTATTATAAGTATTTATTTATATTATTTGACCGTCTACCATTTTTCTTTTTTTTTAATAAATTTATTATATATTGTTGCCGAAGGGAGAAGGGGTGGGTGGGGGAGGGGGATGAGGAGGAAAAACGGATAATTTTTTATAGAAAATCGCTTCCGATCGGTGCTGCTTTTCTTTTTTATTAATAAAAAGGTGCCAAAAAGGTATACAGTCTCTTGAAGGGCGCCATATTTGATTATTTTTTTACACGTGGTTGCTTGTTTTGAAATGAGTTTTTCCTTTTTTCTTTTTCGTTTTTGTATCTTTCCATTTGATTGATACCATTTAAATAAAGTGTAAACGGGGAAGAATGAAAGAGAGAATGAAAGAATGAAAGAAAAGGAGGGAAAATGAAAAAGAAAATTTTTTTTTTTGTTTGAAAATTGTAATTAATGTTAAAAGAAAATGTTTGACGTTTTTAGATTAGTTTTATTAAATGTGTGGCACATACTTATTATTATTATTATTATAAATTTACATTGTAAATATTTAAACAAAAAATTTATTTATTTATTTATTATTCGCTGTTAATATTTTAAAATAATAATAATAATAATAATGGATTAAGAAAATTTTTTTTAAAAATAAATATGTGGATGACACGAGTCGTTCCTCTCAAATTATTTATTTATTAAATTCAAAAAAAAAAAGATGGCGGCGGATATTATTAAAATTAAAAAAAAAAAGGCGTGATGGATTTTAATTATAAGGATGATCGCGTAAACGAAAAAACCGGAAATGGAAATGAAAAAACAGAAAAAATAAATAAATTTCTTATTAATTTTTTTTTGATGTTAGAAAACTCGTTTTGAACTTCTTTCTCTCTCTCTCTCTCTTTCATTTAAGAAACGCGATAAATTATCATTATTATTATTATTTATTTAATTTATTTATTGATTTATTTATTGATTTATTTATTTAAAAATATTATTTCCGTTAGTTTCGTTGTTTTGAATTTTTTTTTTTTCGAGTCGCGAGTTTTAAAATTAGTAATTTTATTATACGAAACGAACTTTTTTTTTTTTTTTTTTTTTTTTTTTAAACCCAACCGCTGCCTCTTAAAAAAGAAAAAAAAGTTGTAATAATAATAATAATAATAATAATGATGATGATAATAATAGTAATTTGAGAAGTGGGGAGAGAGAAAAAAAAGTTGGAAGGAAAGAAAGAAAGAAAAAAAAAAAAAAAAAATTACAAAATTGGTTTTTTATAAAAAAAAAAAAAAAAAAAATTAAGAAAGAAGCACGAAACGTATTATTATTATTATTATTATTATTATTATTATTATTCGAACGCGTTACATTCGTTCGTTTAATAATAATAATAATAATAATAATAATTAAATGAGTATTTATAAAAAGTCTTTTCTTTTTTTTAAAAGACTTCGTCTTGTGTTCAGTTCGATGTTGGATACGGTTAAGTTAGGTTGTTATTAAAAAAAAAAAATAATAAATAAATAAATATATATATATATATATATTATTATTTTTTCGAATCGGATTTTTAAAATACGCGTTCGCACGCACACGCACACGCACATACGCACATCAAGTGGGTAAAATATATATATATATATTTAATAATGAAAATTTTTATGTTTTCGTTTCGTATGGGAAGAAAGCATGTGACTTATTTATTTATTTAATTTTTTTTTATTGATTAATTAGGGTTTTAATTAACATTAAATATTAATTGATAATTTTTTTAAATTAATAATTATATAATAATAATAATAATAATAATAATAATAATAATAATAAATAGAGACAAGAAAAATGGAGGAGAGAAAGAAGAAGAAAAAATGGGATTTTTTTAATTTTTTTTGGTTTTATTTTTATATATATTTCATCATCATTATCATTATCATCATCATCATCTTGTTGTTGTTGTTGTTTTCCATTTATAAAAAATAGAACAAACAAATGACCAAAAACGCATTCCGATAACCCAATTTAACAAACAAACAAACATAAAAAAAATGCATTTTTTTTTTTTTTTTCATGACTCTCCGCGTTGTTGTTGTTGTTGTTGTCTAACCCTTGACTTAAATAAATATGTGTATACGTGCGCGTGAAAAAATGAATAATAATAATCATAATCATCATCATTACAATTAAAAAAAAAAAAAAAAAAATTGCCATCGTTTTTTATTGTAATATAAATAAATAAATGATTGATTGATCAATGAATTGATCACATCATTATTGTCGATTGTTTGTTTGTTGTTTGTAAAAGCACACTTTGTTAGTCTTTTAAAAATGAAAAAAGTTCATTACAAATTGTTTAAAAAAAATGTCATGAAAATAAAATGGCATTAATCTCCCAAGTAAGTTGTTTGAATTCTTGGGTTATCCGGGATCATAAGGTCATTGAATCGGATAAATTTAAACAACAAACGACCCGTTTGAGACAAACACATATATATAAACTCATTCTAGAAAATATTTTATTAATAATAATAATAATAATAATAATAATAATAATAATAATAATCTATTTATTTATTTATTTGAAAAGTTTTAAAATTCATATTTAAATCAATTTAAAAAAAAATATAAATGAAATAAATGAGGGAGGGAGGGGAGATGAGGGGGAGGAGAAGAGGAGATTTTTGTGTGTTTGTTGTTTGTTTGTTTGCGTTCAATTATTGACCCAAATATATTATGGCATTTTACGTCGTCGTCCTACAAACATCCGATTAAATAATTTGTAATTACAACTAGCAAAAAAACAAACAAACAGAGAGAGAGCAACGAAAAAAATGACACCATTTTATTATTATTATTATTATTTTCTATTTTCAGAATAAAAAAAAAAACGGGATGCGGAGGGTTTTTGTCGTCCCTGTTCCTCTTCTCCTTTTTTTTATTTTAGGACTCACGTCCCACGTGGATTCGACATGTTTGAGACAACCGCATTTTAGTCAATCCGTCGCATTGAAATCACCCGGCGACAATGGTTATCAAATTCACCTTAACGGAAATCCAGACAGATACGTTCCAGGTTCCAGCTACGTTTGTAAGAGCGTTTCCGGTTTTTAATAATCATCTCATTTAATGAATACCTTTGCGTTCTGAGATTTCGAGTTTTTCGTTACAGTATCCATAAAGGGTGGTAGAAATCATCAGGGTTATTTGCAAAAGTTCAAAGGTTTCGTTTTGACCGTGGAAGCATCGCATCCACAGAGCGACATTTTCCACGATACCGATGGAAGCGACAGTCCCGTTCGAGTTGGAACGTTCATGTTGTATTCCGACGAATTGACACAATATCACGGAGAATGCATAAATACGATAAAAGAATCGGATTTGAGTGATAAATCTGAAATACAAGTCATGTGGCAGGCACCGCCGAAAGGTTCTGGATGCGTGACTTTTAGGTTCGCCCCCCCCCCACGAAAATGTTTTTCCATTGAATGATGATCGAGCCCCGTTTTAAACTATTTATTTATTTATTTAGAGCGATGGTTTTGGTCGATAAAGATACTTGGTTTGCTGACGATGAAGGTTTGTCGAAGAAAATCTGCGAAATAACACCCGAGTACTTAAGAGGTACCGAAGATGTCGAAAGTAATACATTGGAATGTTGTTCGTGCGACGAAGCCAAATACACGGTATTAATTAAAATTTATTTATTTATTTGAATGAATCTATTCTCTCTAATCTGTGAATTTAATAATAATGATAATGATAATGATAATAATAATAATAATAAATTTATCTCCGTCGTTATGTAATGCAGATGGTTTTCGAAGGTCTTTGGTCAAGTTCCACTCATCCGAAAGATTTTCCAACCAATTTATGGCTCACGCATTTTTCTGACGTCATCGGAGCGACACACAGAACAAATTTTTCATTTTGGGGAGAAGGACAAATTGCATCCGACGGGTTGAGACAAGTCGCCGAATGGGGAAGCGCAAGAAATTTAGAAGCCGAATTGAGAAGCAAAGTAATATACAAAAAGACATAATTTGTTTGTCGTTAATGATGATCGAATCGTTTGTTTGTTTGTTTGTTTTTCAGGCGAGAAATTTAAAAACTTTAATCAAAGCTGCCGGGTTATGGCATCCACACGTAAATGAAAATACGACGGCGACATTTAAAGTCGACAAACAAAAACATCTTCTTTCCGTCGTGTCGATGTTCGGTTAGACATTTTTATTTTTTTCTAATTCCTCCCGATGCCTTAATATTATTATTATTATTATTATTATTATTATTATTATTATTTTCTTCTTTCAGGTCCTACGCCGGATTGGATCGTCGGAGTTTCCGGTTTAAATTTATGTCAACGTGATTGCACGTGGGTTGAAAATAAGGTCATTGATTTGTATCCGTACGATGCTGGTACCGACAGCGGAGTGTCTTACATGGTAAATTGACGTAATTTTTTTCGTCTCCCTCCCCACCCGCCCCCTTTAATTAAAATAATTAAGTTTTTGTTTTAAACGTGCAAATTAAAAGTTTTGCAATCAATTTTCGATTTTAAAAATTAACACACAAACAACATGTCAAATTGCATTCGCAGTCTCCGAACGAGCCGACCATACCGCGGGAAAGAATTTCTAGAATCACGCCCCTGTATCCGGAAGATCCCAGAGCTCCTTTTTACGATCCTCAGGGAAAACCCATGAAACCTCTCGCGAAACTGTATTTGAAATTAGATTACGTCACGCCTAAACAATGTCACGAAGATGTCGACGGAACCGTTGATTTGCCACCCGTTGTCGATTTGACGGAGAACACCGAAGATACCAGAAGACGTGAGTGACGATCACAAAGACATACAAAGTTTTACTGTTATTATTATTATTATTATGATATTTTTTCTTTCGGTAGCCGAGTGCAACGTTACCGATTACACCCCTTGGTCCCCCTGTTCCGTAACGTGTGGAAAGGGAATCCGAATGAGAACGAGAAATTATTTGATGCCGCAAAAAGCACAAATGTTGGGTTGCGACAGACAGTTGGTGAGCAAGGAAATGTGCGTTGCCGATCAGCCATCTTGTTCGTAAGTAATTTTCATTAATTAAAAGCACGAGTAGTTCCCATAAGCTTTTAACTATTTGTCCGTTACGTATTCGATCGACAGAGAGGGACCCTTTCAATACCCCAGCCCTTTCCAATATTTACCGGATTCGGATGAAGTTGAAGACACGGAAGCTTTTTGCGAAACGTCACCCTTCGGCGAATGGTCGGAATGTTCGACGACTTGCGGAGTCGGAGTCGCTATGAGAACTCGTCGATTTTTAGATCGTTGGGGTAGGAAAAAATGTCCACACGTTTCCCTGGTTGAAAAAAGAGAGTGCATAGAACCTCCGTGTCCATCTCCGTCACCTGGAATCGTAAGGAAAAGCGATATTTGATATAAAATGTCCGAACACGTATTCCCCTTATTGTATTTGTTTTTTTTAGAATATGGATAGTAGATGTACTACATCCGAATGGACGGATTGGTCTCCGTGCAGTGCCACGTGCGGTACAGGATTAAGATATCGTTCGCGTCAGGTTTTGGTCGGCGGTGAACTCAAAGACATTTGCGCGGGTCGAGTCGAACTCAATCAGCAAAGGATATGCACATTGCAAGCGGATTGCAGCGTTGACAGAACATCAGCCAAACGTAAAAAAAAAAAAAAATCATTAATTTGTCACTCTCCATTTTGCAAAACCTTTTTTTTATTATCAAAATTGACTTTTTCCCTTTGCTCAGAGATTTGCATGCTCGAACCTGATAGCGGACCTTGCCGAGGTTTTTTCGAAAGATGGTATTTCGATCCGAGAGAAAAACAATGCGTGACGTTTCCATTCGGAGGATGCAGAGGAAACAGGAATAATTTCAAATTGGAATCGGAATGTAACGAAGCATGCGGAACCATTCGAGGTACATAATAATAATAATAATAATAATAATAATGGCCGATTCGCGAGCGCGAAACTTAAAACACGTTTTTTTTTCGTCCTAAACAGATGAATTGATTTTGGCGGAAAGTGAATTGAGACGCGGGGGTGGCGGTGATGGATCATTTTCATCATTATCATCGTTTTACCGTCCGAACAATGGGACAAGAATCGATTGCGTCGTCGACGATTGGACGGATTGGACGCCGTGCAGCGTGTCTTGCGGTGTCGGAAAATCCGTTAAAATGAGAATGGTTAAGGTACAACCGCAAAACGGTGGAAGACCCTGTCCGAAAAGATTATTGAAAAAAAGAGTTTGCCAAGGGCCTCCCTGTTAATAATAATAATAATAATAATAATCCTTTATATTATATTATATTTGATAGTACAGAAGCACAATAGATAAATTTTTTTTTTTAATACATAAATTCAAATATATATGATCGTTTTTGCTTCGATATATTATTATTATTATTATTAAAACAAAATTTTTTTTTTTCACGCCGCGTAAATTGCGTACAAACGCACAATAATAATAATAATAATAATGTTTGACGATTGTTAATCGTACATCTTGAATAAAAAAATTAAAAAAAATTTTTCGGGATTTTTCAATAAGAGAGAGAAAGAGAGAAAGAGAGAGAGAGAGAGAGAGAAAGATGTATAATTGAATTTTTTCTCGTGAGAGGGATATTATCTGGATAAGAAAATATCCAGTGCGCAAGTTAAAACATTTTCCATTTTCCAGCAGGAAAAAAAAAAAACAATTTTTGCTGGAAAAAAAAATGGCCGACGACAATTTCATGGGTAATGATAAAAAAAAAAAAAAAAAAAAAATTATAATTTTATTTATTAATTTAAAATTATAAATAAACAAAATGTGATGTGATAATAATAATAATAATAATTTTGTCCAGGTAAGTTTTTTTTTTTTATTATATGAAATTTAAAATTAAATTTTAATTTAATTTTTTGTTTTTGTTTCATTACAGATATTATTATCATCATTATCATTATTATTAATGAAAATCGACAATATTATTATTATTATAGATTATGAGATTATATTCGTTAAAAAAATGTCTACGAATTAGACGCGTGTTAGTTTTCGTTGTTATATTTGTACTCGTTACGACGGGTATCAAAATGAAAGATTTTTTAAAAATGAATAATAATGATTACGATAATGATAATTCAGGAATGATAATAAAAAAATACGAATTGTATAAATACGTTGGTAAAACATTTACCGTGGGTTTATTTTTGAAAAATCAAAGTCCCGGTAATACGACATATTGTAATTTTCGATTAGGAGATTCCGTCACGTTCAATTACACGGATAACGACGTGTCATATAGTCCAGAATTGGGGGAAAAGGGTCCCTATCGGATACTATATAGCGTCGTGAAAGGTTTTCAATATAACAACACGGAAACAAATTCCGTCACATACGTCACGCACATAACATTAGAATTTCTTTTTCACATTGTGGAAATAGCTAAAAGATGGAGTGGACCCATAAGCGTCGCTTGTTTCCTACCCGGTACGGATACCATACTGGCATTGAAAGTTTTAGAAAAAATGTGTTTTTGCGTTAAAGAAATGGAAAATGTCGACATACATTTCATATATCCGAAAGATCATCCACCCAAATTGATGTCGTTGAAAAATTATTCATTTTGGTTAGACATGGAAGAATATAATATATACACGCCTTGGAAAATGATCGAAACAAATTCCGTTCAAAAAACGTCCGATAATAATAATAATAATAATAATACATATATAAATGACAATAAAACAAATATTAAAACTACTACGACTACGTCTGCCACGACGAATACGTACGAAGGTACTTGTTACGTACCTGAAAAAATATTAAAAAATTCATATAAGAGTAAAAAAAATTTAGTTTATCCAATAAATGTGGCAAGAAATGTGGCACGATATGGATCTAGAAGTAAATTTATATTAGTGTCAGATATTGAATTGTTACCAAGTGATAATTTAGTAAATGAATTTTTAAATATGATAAAAAGATTAAATGAAAAAAATAAACATTTGGGAGAACATTATTTTACAAAGAAAAAGTATGCTATTATTATTATCATTATTGTCATTTATTATTTAAAATTTTGGTCTGATGGGGAAGTAAATGATTTTTCAGGCACGTTTACGTTCTTCCCGTTTTTGAAGTTTCTGAAACTGAACCTGATGTACCAAGAACAAAATCACAATTGTTAGATTTGTATGAAAAAGAAAGAGCTGTTTATTTTCACAGGTACATTTGTACTCATTGTCAACGTTTTCCTGGTATACAAAGATGGCTACAGAGAAAAGTACATCCTAGAATTAAAACTGGTACCATACAGGTATTATTATTAAAAATTGCCACAATTTCCCCCCCCCCTTTTCGAATATTAATTATGAATTAATTACATTTACACACATGCATTCATTGTTTTAATTATTTTTCAGCCATTATTGGTTGTTAAAAGAGAATTTCCATATCACAGATGGGAACCTATTTACATAGGTACAAATAATGAACCTTTGTATAGCGAATTGTTAACTTGGGAAGGACAACAAGATAAAATGACTCAGGTTTGTATATATACAAATTTAAAACTGATTCGATTTTTTTTTTTTTTTTTAAAAGTAAATTAAATTTCATCATCATTTAGATGCATGAAATGTGTTTGTTGGAATATCGATTTGTAATACTCAATGGAGCTTTTTTAGTACACACACCAGGAATCAAAAGACGACACATTGTTAAAAAAAATACAAAATTGTTATTAAAAAAAGGAAATTTGAATTCGATTGTTATAACAAATCATTCGAGTTCAAAGGTCACAACTGATATAAATTCTGCACAGAAAAATGCACACATGAAAAGAAATTCTTATCTATATCAAATAATAACACAAGATGTTATGGGAAGATATAAATTTAATCCAAGATGTAGAATTCATTAAATTGTTTTATTATTATTATTATTATTAGTATTATTATTATTATAAAAAATCCTTTTTCTTTTTCTTATTTACTTCACCTTTATGAATTTGCAAAAGATGTTTTTACATGCATATATTTTAATATTATTATTTCGATTGTGGTTAATGTAAATATTAAGGACGAAAAAATTACATCGTCATCCTTTTTTTTTACGTCAGAAAAGACAATTCTTACGATTTGAGAGATAAAATTATTATCAATCAAATAATTTTAAATAAATAAATAAATGAAATATGAAAACAATTTGCATGCATTATTTGTTTTTTTAAAATAAATATCATTAATTATTTACCTGCATAAAATAATTTATTAATTAATAAAAATAAATTAATTAGTAGATTTTTATTATAATTACATTATCGAACGATAAGAGAAAAGAATAAAAAAATAATAAGAAAATTGATTTAAAATAAAAAAAAAAAAATGTCTGACCTGAATTGGCTCCAAAAGTGTGAAAATGAGCGGTTAGCGGTAACCGAATGAAAACAATTTTTACAAGAGGGCTGTGAATCATATGAAAATCAGCCATGTTTGATTTTTACTTATTTTAATAAAAAGGTTGTGTAAAATAGTAACTCTTGTAATTTTTATTTATTTAAGTGTGTTTATATATAAAAACAAGCAAGCTGGATAGGTTACCTGAATATTTACGTGACACAGTGGATTGGTTTATGGGGTAAGTTTATTTTAAATATAATTTTATTTTTTCCCCATGACAAAAATTCGTTGTCATTTATCAAGTGAAATATAAATGAGTCGATAAATGTATGTACCCTATGTTATTATCATATTCAATTGATAAATTATTTTATGTGAGAAATGAAAATTTTTTTTAAAATTTCTTAGAGTTTGAAAAATTCACATTATTTTAAATCTCAATGGTCTTTGTTTTATTAACAACTATGTTGACGATCATGCTATGATACGTTGAACTGATGGATTCAAGGTTTCAAACAAGTTTACAATTGTAAACAAATTAACTTATTATCGCCTTATTTTATTTTATTGATTTCTCTCATTTTTCTAAATAGTTACTTTACTGATAAGGTATTTTAACATTTAGCCTTTTTTTTTTTTTTAAACTTGTTTTTCAATTATCAATTTGTGTAATTGTTTTTCTCACACAAACCATTTATTCATGTATATTCATAGCCAAACTCTTCGATATTCGAAAATCGAATAATGCACACCTTTCATAAAATTTTGTTTTTTTTTAAATCGTTTTAAATTGAGCTGTTGTGTGTTGTGTACATACTCGATAAATGTATATAACAAAACAAATTTGAATTTAAATTTTATTTTTATCTATGGTCATTAATTATTTTTGTCGAATTATTAAAATTTTTACTTTTGGACATACTCGTTCGTACTTTTATGAAAACTAGTTCAAATTTTTCAAATAATTGTGTTAAAATTTTGTTACTTTGCCAAAATCTCTCAGCCATGGAATAAAATATTTTTTTATTTGAATTTTATTTAAATGATTGTTTGTTATAAAAAATTTCCCTTTTTATATTTCAAATGATAAAATAAATCGTCAAAGAAAAATTTTTTGGTATTACATTCTGATTTAACTAATCGTTCACAATTACAAAGTGTTTCTATGTTATCATTATATATATTTGATTTTATGAATGTATTTGTTTTTCACATGATCATCTCATTCACAAAGTGAAAAACCCCCAATGTAATAATTTCAACATTTATTTATAAATAATTTTATTAACTGCATATTGTAGCGAATAGCACAGTTTATTTATAGCAAAATTTAACATATTTATGTTGGTAAAAAAAAAAAATATTTTTTCTGTTGTTCAACAACATAGATATAAAAGTTTTAGAATCGAACAATCATTTTAAAAATGGGAATTTGACAAAATGAGAAAAATTTTTGAAATTTTATTCGAAATGAAATAAATTTTATTTTTTTTTTTTTTTATTTATACAAATAGTAAAGATTACCAATTAAGGGAGAAAATTTAAAGTGGTATATTTATAAATAAAACAAAATTAATTTCAAAAGAAATCAAAAGAGTTTTCTTAGTTAAAAAAAAAAAGGTTCATTTTTTTTTTTATTAGGCATTACGAATAATTTTTGTTTTTTTTTTTTTTTTTTTTTTTTTTTAAAAATATCATTATGTAATTAAAACTACTTACCAGCATAATTTTTTTTTTTTTTTTTATCCCTTTTCGTCTTATCAAAAGTAATTAAAATTTTTTTTTTTTTTTTTTTTTTTTTTTTTCCACAAAAAAAAAAACCTTTCAATTAGGGTTTTGTTAATTTATCGCTTTATCGACCTACAATCTATAATTTTTTTTTTGCTAATAATTTTTACTTATCTTTTACATGCACAAAAATAAATATATGTATGTATGTGCTTATTTATGTATGTATGTATGTATGTGTAAATATTTGCGTGTGGAAATAAAATTTAAAAAAAAAAAAAACTCGATAAAGTACGATAATTATTATTTTATCGTCATAATCATAATCGTAATCATCATCATCATCATAATCATCATCATCATCATCATCATCATCATGGTCGAAGGGGTAAAAACTGTTTGGTAATTTTAAGGGGAGAAGGAGAGAGGGGTGTGTGTGTGTGTGTGTGTGTGTGAAAAGACTATACGATGATGGTAAATATACAAGGTAGAAGAATTGTTTTATGTATGTATTATTATTATCATTTTTTTAGCGGTTTATGTAAACTAATTGTAATTAATTCAATATCGTAATTATTAAATAATATTATTATTATTATTTCGATAGGGTCGAAAGAATAAATTAATAGTGCGAAATTAATAACTAATAATAATAATAATATGGCGTGGTAATGGTATTTTCATAACTATTTAAATTTCATTTCATAATTTTACGACGAGTGCATCTTTTATTTTTCTTTCGCTTTCACATATTATGTCAGAGTTTCCTCCCTCTCCTTCCCCTCCCCTCCCCTCTTCCCTAAAAATTTTTTAATGCGTTCCTTTTGCCATTGCAAAACGTTTTCGTAAAAAAAAAAAATTATTTGAATTTTTTTTTTTTTTCTTCTACGTTTTACATTTCGCGAAAAAAAAAATAATAAATGTTTTTTTATATTATTATTATTATTATTATTATTACTATGGGGGGGAGGGGTATTAGGAAATTCTACCTTTTTTTATTTAGTAAAAGTAATTTAAATTTAATTATTTAATTAATTTAAACTTTATGAGACTTTAATGCGTATTCATTTTGACCGTACGTTTATCTTTTGGGATATTGTTTAATAAAAAAAAAAAAGTTGAATCGATTAAGGTAACCCGTTGGTAGGAAGAAATCGTTGAACTGTCCTGTTTTTCTTTTTAAAATGGCGGACATTGAGCAAAACTTAATGTCTGTCCATTTGACGTGTGTGTAAGTACATACAGTTAAATTTTACCTTGGGCTTTGTTTTTAATTTTCTCCCACCACGTGACTTCTCCTTTATATATAATAATACAAATTTTTTTTTAAGCTAAACTTTTTCCACAAATGTGTGTGTGTGTGTGTGTGCGTGTAAATGGCTAAAAATAAATAAAAGACGTTTAAAATATGAAAATAAATGCAAAGTAATAAATAAATAAATAATACGGAAATGTGAAAGATATATATGTGTGTCAATAATAACTTCCGGTTTAAATTTGAAAAATACTAAAAAAAAAAATTTTCTTTTTTCTTTTTATTCTAGACAGCACGATTTGGCATATACGCCATTTTTTTTCTCTCTCTCTCTCTTTCTCTCTTTCTCTCTCTCCTTATTTAACTCGTTGGTTTTTTGTTAGGTAGAATGTGTAGAATTTCAGAATGTTCTGCTGCTGTTGTTGCTGTTGTTGTTGTTGTATAACAAAATGTGATGAGTTTGTGAAGAGTTTTCAACAACCTTTAAAAAAAAAGAGTTTTTCTGAATATTTTTTGAGTCTGCTCTTGAAGAATCTTTTAACTTTAAAGTAGTAACGTTTTTTATTAAATAATAATAATAATAATAATAATAATAATAATAATAATAATAATAATAATAATAATTTAAATGAACGTCAAGTATAATTTATAGTTTTTTATTTATTATTATTTTTTTTTTTTTTTTTTTGGTCGTGATGGTAGATTTTAGAGAGGGGAGGAGTATACGAGTATCAAAACAGTCGTCGGGGCTATTTAAAAAGAGAGAGAGGGGGAGGGGGAGAGAGTAGAAATGATTTATTTCAAATTTTGTTAATAAGTTAAAAATTTATCATTTGTTTATCCGATAACAAATTTATTTAAAAAGAAAACGATGATAATAATAAATCTATAGGTTGTTGTTTGTTGTTGTTTGTTGTTTGTCGGTCGATCGATCGATCGATGAGTTTAATTAAAAGTTTCAGAGACTCGAATGAATGTTTACTCAAAATAAATAAATAAATAAATAAATATAAGATTTTTATTTATTTTTTTTATTTTTCTAATATTTTCAATACATGCGTGTGTGCGTGCGTGCGTGCGTGCGTGTGTGCGTGTGTCCATGTCAGACTTTCCGACCTTATTTCGAAACTATATATCACGGATGGGATAATGAAATATATTCGCAAAGGATATTTTGACGGATCCTTCACATTTCGTTCGGTTTTTCTCTTTTTTAAACCGTGATGGCCTTTTGACTAACACCGTGGTAACCCTAACCTCGTTTTTTCTCTTTTTTTTTGCTCTCTTGAATTTTGTTTTGTTGTCGAACCTTTGAGAATAATCCTTAACTTAACGTTTTACTACTAATTGGCACCGATATTGACCTTGGAGGCAATGTCAAGTCAAAAAAAAAAAAATTTTATTTGGTTGTTAGATTCGCCGGTTTTCAAATGATATTTTTTTATACATCTTGGACGCCATCTTGTACGCCATCTTTCCTTAATTACCAATATCGGTTATTAAAAGATTTTACAAAAAAAAAAAAACCCTCCTTGGGTT